GTTGCGACTACGAATAATAAATTCTTAAAATTATTATTTTCTCCGAAAAAAGAATGTTCTTCTTATTAAAAAAAATTAATATTTATAAGTAAATAATAATAATTAATAACGAATTGAAAGAATTGTTACAGTTGTGACTACGAATAATAAATTCTTAAAATTATTATTTTAAAAAGCTTTCTTTTCCTCGACCATCGATCTAGACTACAAAACGGTGTCTCGTCGTGCTTAAAAGCACGATAGCAAAATCTCTCGCGGCCCTTAGGGCGGCGGGTACTCAGGACGGATCGACTCGGCGGAAGCGACGATTTTAAGTGCGGACTGAAAGACATATTTCGGGATGCGTTCTATATTTATACGCACTCGTGTACGCATCTATGCGCACGAAAGACCGCCGAGCGATTTACGCGTCTGCGACTCTCTCGACATTCCACGCGACTTTCTTTGTGCTTCCCCCCGTGATGCGTACGTGCCACGCGTCGCTCTGGAATCCCGTTTACGGAATGCGTGCGAATCTTCGTCGGGCGACTTTATCTTCGACCACTGGCAACACATTCGGCAACACATTCGTAAATTTATGTGGCGCCTAAATTATATCGCTGTCGTCTAACATGAATTACTGATCGCCGCTGACCGCGACGTTACTCCAAAAGCATCTTCCTGGAATGTCTATTTATGATTGTAAGGGTAAAAAAGGTATCTTATACAAATCTGCAAATACATTATTTTTAGAACGTATTATTATTATATGCTGTCTTTTTTTAAGCTTAGGAAAATAAAAATGCCATAAAATCAACCTTAGAATTTAAGAAACAAAAAATGTTTCAAGAATGTAAATGGGCACGAGAAATTAATTGTTAATATTTTATTTTTAAAATTTTTATTGTTCTATTGATTCTCAAATTAATAAAAAGGATAACTAACAAAAATTTGATATTCCAAAAAATCCTAAAAAGAGCAACATATATTAAAAAGAAAATGATTGAGATTCAAGCACGTAAAAAGGAAGCAAAGTGCAAGAGATCAATAAAAAAATATATATTTTATTACTTTTACATAGTATACTATTTTAATACGAAAACCAATTAATAAAGTAAAGAATGATAGTAAGCGAAAATTACATTGTTTACAGATATTGCAATCCTAATAATTTTTCCAAGAGAGAAGCAGTTGACGTGAATGCAACATGATTTACGAGACTTCGATTCAAAATTATTTACGCGCGTTTATGCGAAAAATCTAAAATAATTCCGAGTTAAGAATATATTCAAATTCAGTCGGCCTTGTCAGCAGGAGAATGAAATGGCGAAGAGACAGACTGCAGTCATAATTCAAGGAAGCATCCGCCTTGGCAATCTACGGCAACATTCCGCATAGTTTCAGCTTGTATGTACCGTTTTCAGCTTAGCATCATTACGCGTAATTTATAATGATCACTAGGTACCTTGCTCGCATCGCAGTCGATAGAGGAAACTTATCGCGGTTCTACACATCAAGGGAACTGACATCCAAACATTTTAACTTTCAACATAGTTTTCAACCTATAGTCATCACTTTCAGATTTACCATATGAAAGCTTTTACCAAGAACGCTCTTTGAATTATTGTGTTTTGCTACAAATATAGCTGTTTCCAACTTTGTTTCACAACACATCGAGTATAATAGCATAATAATTGATAGTTTATTAATAATACATGATCAAAAAAATATTTCAATTATTTAAAATTTAATGGTTCTGATTAATCATTAAAATACAGCACAATAATTAATGATGTATAATTTATTTATAATATAAATAACATGATAATGTTACAATTGTTATTAAATTAATATTAAATTATTAAAAAAATTATTATTAAATTAAATTATTATTAAATTAATTTATTAATTAAAATTATTATTTAATTAAATTATTAAAAATTATTATTAAATTAAATTTCTGAAAATCCCACGTTTAAAACCCCACCAGCTTTTCATCTCTCTTTGGAACGAAATTCGCAAAATATGTACAATTAACTTTGAAGAAACGAGGAAGAAGAGAGGAACGTACGTTTCACAAGTCATAAAACTGTTATAAGGATCTTCAATTTTCCCCTTAGATTTTACAAGTATCATTCTTTGACTCGGCTCTACAATTTTATACATCAAGATTATATTTACAGTGCGCATGTTTTCGCGAGTTAAACAGTACTGACAACTCGGTATGCAAGTGTTATCCTTCGAAGCAATTTGTACGTGCCGTTAGCCAGTCCTCCTCGACGACTCGCACATATCGCACGGTTCTCGAGTGCCTCTCGTGCTCCCTCGGCTGGAATAGCACGAGTCGCCGGTTCGAGGGAGGGATCTCTCTCGGGTCAGAAATTCATTCGGATGACATTCCGCATAATTTCGCGTCGGCAGCGTTGTTTTCGGCATAAATACACAGCGTCGCGCGCGATTTAGAATACTCGGCGCGCGAAATCGGCATTGTCGAGATTGTCCGCGACAGGATCCTCAGGAACAACGAACGGAAACGTGGTCCGTGGTCCTCCCCGTGGGATTGAAATTCACGTGCAATCACTCGACGTGAAAATTTATGTATGGCTTATAATTCACGTATATCCGACCGCGCTTTCGCTAATCTTTCGTCCTCGTTTCTGCCGCGAGATCAAGATTTAAGAACCTGAATATGACGAGAAAAAGAGACAATTAAATACGGAAATGATCGTTTTAATTTAGAAAAATAAACGCGATGTTGAGAGATCGAGAAATTGTTTCAAGGCAAAAATAGATGGTTGGACTCGGCGATTTTTACGACGGTCCTTTCCTTCGTCTCGGGTAATTATATTTCGGGCAAGTAGCCAGATTCCCAGATTCTGATGATCATAATGCGGTTGTAAATGCGGTATTCGTTGAGCATGGTCTCTTTCGTCACCCGATTGCAATAAGCGATCCCGTTGTTGACTGTTAAACATCGTTAGCTATGGTTTTAATGGAGCGGAGTGCAAACGACGTAATTGTTATTGCGGTCGTTAATTGTTTCTCGAAGCTCGGACCTTCGTCCGTAATTGGCAGCCGTTAGAACAAGCCGCGTGGCCTCGCGAGGGTGGATCGGGACGGAAATCGATCGACATATCTGCGATCGTCGGGGCCTTAATGCGGTCAATGGTCCGTTGCGTGCGGCCCTTAATTAGTCAGTCCTCTTCAATGAGCTTGATATTACGGATCCAGCGATAAGACCGCATGTGCAGACTCGAGGAATGTACGGTATAAAGGATAAACTTGGAGATTATACGAGATAATAAGCGGGTTCTGTTAAGTTTTAAGTTTTCTTAATAAGTACTTGCGCATCATAAGATCGTCTAATTTTAATTTTCCCGGATTTGTTTTACTTCTTGCGAGGAAGAAAAGTGCTTAGATATTATTAAAAATGTTCTATACTTGTATAAACCTGCCAATATAAAATCATAAACTTGATGTGTTTGTCAACTATATTTGACAGAGAAAATATCCCTCTAAAAAAAACAAAGATAAAAAAATACGCCAAGTATATAAAAAATATTCCAAAAATATTCTTGTATGCAATAAAACGCGTTTAATAAAAAAATATCTTTAAAAATAATTTAAAAATTTTCCCTCAAAAAATATATACAATTTTCCTAAGAAAATTTGAAAGAGAAAATATAAGAAATTAAAGCAATAATCGAAGCAGATTAATCTAACAGATTCTATTTCCTCAAGAATTTGCTTTTGTTGCAACTTAAGAATTATTATAAAGTAATTAAAGAAAAGAGATATTTTTTTAATCTATTAAAAAATCTATTTTAAAAATCTGTTTTTAATTTATTGTCTCTTGCAACAACGTAGTTAATTAAAAAAACTACGAATATGCTTTGTATATTTTTTGAAAATTATGTACTTTGTAAAATTGAAATTATATTGATTATAATTATAAGAAGTTGTAAATAATGCACTTTTTTTAAAATTATTTTAATTTCAATAAGTCTAAAAGCGCTAATTTTTGTAAAACTTTTCTTATATTTTAATAAACTGGAGAAAAGAATGTCTTTATATCTAATAAAATCTTTTTATATTTTATATAAAACAAAGAGGAATTTAGTTTTAATAAATTTTATATATTCTTCTTTGCTTATAAGTTTCTTCATTTATTATTTTCTAAAATAATGCGCGCAGTTTTATGAAAAACATTCAAAAAAATATTTTGTTAATTTCTAGATATCACATTAAAATTTATTAATATTTATACTTATTCAATTTTTGCTTCTGCTATAACATTGTCTATAACATGTAGAGTTTAGCAGCAATTTTTTTAGTAATACTTTCTAGATTTAGATTGTCTCATTGTTTTCTAGATTTAGATTGTCTCATTGTCAGTATTGAATAAATATGAATTGCCATACAAAGATTTTTATCAGAAATAATTTTTCTGGATATCACAATCAAACTTTATAACAACTATTAGTTTTAAGATAGATAGGTGTCGCAGAAAGATTTTTTTTCTAAATTTCTAACAGTTCAGATATGAATTCTATCCACTTTAAATTAATTAAATGCAAAACATATCGGGAGATATTTGCCAGTCATTTATCTCGATTAATTTTTCGCACTTGGAAAATTGTTGCGAGGCCATTTTTTTTTAAGTGAATACAGGATGACGTTATTTAGAAGCGCTTAATTCGGCGCCACCTGTGCTTGATGGCTCGAGCTTATGAAACCTGCGCGGCACGCGGCTCGGCGGCCAGTCTGATTCCTCGTCGCAGTGCGATACGGTCGATAGAAGTAAGCCACGTAATGCGACCACAGTGGTTGCGGTGAGAAATGCAGTGACAAAACGACCACCGTCGTATGACATGTACGAGAGTCACCCTCGGCACTTTACGCGCTCTTCCTCCCTCGCGATTTCGAGAAAAGCTGCTCTCCAAGCTTGCGAATGCCGAAAAAAATCGCCGCCACGTGAGCGAAACGTCATAGCATCTCGGAGCAGGATTATGGTAAAAACTTTATCACGTTGACGTAGAATAATCTTTTAATTTTTCTGTGGGAAATATTTGTATAATTTATGAAGAGATTAATTATAATTGTTCTTCTACACCAAGATTTTCGTTGATCGAAAGTTTTTCGTGAAAGCTGTCGACAGTTCTGCTTTTTTTGCGGATAAAATGTAGAACAATTTGTGTACCGTCGATCTTGTCATAAAGATAACAGCAATCTACGCATTTCTACAAGTTTCTAAGGTGGATTATTCGCGAGTTTGAAAGACGCAGAAATTTACAAGTGTGTGAGAAATCCTTGACGAGACCAATCATTGGAGAAATCAGAAACAATCGGGAGATTCGCCACAAGTGAATCCTTTTACATCTGGACGTCAACAATTGCGAAATTGCGATTGACGGATCTGCACAGATCGTCCATCGATCACTCTGGAATTTCCCGACGCAAAACGCGTGACACAGCCGTGACATAAATTTGCGACAAAAAGAAGGCGAAAGAATCGTCGAAAAAGTGTACAAGGAAGAAGGTGTACAAACAAACACGCTTGAACGATCATCAGTCAACTATAAAGCTTCGTGCAAACAGAAACGATACCGTCACCATTGCCGTGACATTGGACGCTACGAAAATTGTTTACGTTATTTCAATTCGGCATTGATATCAAAATACTCCGAAAACACACTGAATTTACGTCATGAGTTCCTGAATCAGAAATCATTGATCTCAGAGCAAGGGAGAGAGGAAAAAGAGATATGTTTCTTTCTCGCTCCCGATCGTTGGATGCTAAATTCATTGTGACGCATTTGCATCTAAAGATTCACAGTTTACTTTCGGAGCAAACATCTGTCAATTTGGAACAATGTCGATTATCTCGAAATTAGCGGACTCGTCTTCCGTCAGATATTGTCGAGATATCGTTGAATCGACGTGAGGAGAGCGCGCGTGTGAACTGCCAAGTGCGACTTGAGGGTGGATGGTCGACAAAGAGACGCCTGGGAGGTATCGATCGACCTGCATCTTGAAGAGGATGCTCCCTTCGGTCTTGTAGGAGAGTAGAGCTCATATCGTAATCACGTGCCGCGAGGACGGAAACGCAACGAGGGGAGAGAGTCAGAGGGTGGGCGAGGGAGGAAGGGAGACGACCTGCGGCAGGCGACGTCGTCATGGAAAATCGATTTGCTGCCGACCACCACCCCTCTACGGCCACCCGACGAAGTGCAATGACCTCCAAACCGGGAAGATCCTACAACGTGAGGTAAGTTGCTTCTCTCGCGATAGGAATCGTCGAGAGTCGCGGTGGGAAGAGGGAAGGGGGCAGGCGATGAAATGACGAGGCGAAGAAAGAGCCTGGCCCCCACGAAGAAAATAGCCGCCGCTTCACGATGTCTACGACTTTCGAGACTTTTTTCTCTATTTTACTTCCGGCCTCGGTTTCCCGAGGAACGATTTTAAACCGTCGCTTCTTTTTTTGACGGAAAGAAGCTGTTCCCTCGCGTCAACTTGACGCTTTACACCCTATGCTGCTTCGTTAAGACAAATGAGAAGATCCAGTTATCGTATCGAAATATTGCGTTATTCAAATATATTAATACGTTATAAAATAATTGTAAGAAATTTTTTGTTTTATCGTTTTAACGTTATTAAATTTTATTATATTTTTTAAATAATTTTCCTTAAAATATTGCATTTAATTAAGACTCGTCAAAAAAATTGTATTTATTTTATTTTAAAGAAGAAAAGAAAGGGAAAGAGATATATATATTTAAAACATTTTTATCTAAGAAAAAATGCAATATTTATATTTATTAATTTGATTAACAAAATTTAATTTGATTAATAATTAATAAATTTAATTTTATTAATTTTATTAATTTTAGCAAAATTAGAAAGATTCAGAACGTAAATTGCAATTTTCCTGGAAAAATGATTGTAATATATTGCAATAATGTTTACTTATTAGAAAATAGCAAAAATGATTTTTTTTTAAATTAATTAACATTTGCATTATTTTTTAATCATTTATATTATGCAGTTTATCAATTATTTAACAATAATCGGAAAAAACAATTAAACTTAATAATTAATTAATAATTAAATAATTAATAATTAATTAATCTTAAGATTGAAATATTTTTCTTGTACTAATTTCTTGGGAGAGATGATTGAAAGAGTTTGCATATTATCATTGAAAGAAAGGAACTTTTGATATGTTGATTTAGTTTCTGCTTCTCTCTCTCTCTCTCTCTCTCTCTCTCTCTCTCTCTCTCTCTCACTTTTGTTTGCTTCTTTTCGAGGTCGGGTTTTAAGCCGAGCGTTTTAAAGCTGAAAACAAGGTCATCTGTTCGCAATACGACGTAAGCACAATTTCACAAAAATGCATCGCTCCAAAGTATTCATAATTTGCATATGCATAAACATGACTGTCGCAAAATATTTCCGTTATTGCATTTAAACTCTGCATTTAAAATACGAATAGAGAACTATTTGCATCATTAATGTGAGAAAAATACAACCATTTGGTATTTTAAATATACATGTTATTCTAAATATAAATTATTATTCTATTGTCGGATAAAATTTGAAATTACACGCGCGCGCGAACACATTTAATATTTTAAATATATGGCTCGAGCGCAAAGTATGTGTTACTAAAAAATTATAATACCTTATCGTAGTATCTTGAATAGATATCGGGGCTTTTGAGTTTTACATGTTCAATAATCATGTATAATGTATTAATATAAAAGAATTATTACATTTAACACTGAATATCTAGTCATATAACTCAAAGCGCATACTGATGTGCACTTTCTGATTTCGCGCACATCCTTCCAGAAGAGTTCGCCGACAGATGAGTTGTGAGATAACTGACAAGTATATAGTTATTATTTTGAACTCAGAGACTTCTTTATGTACGAGTAAGCGTCAGTCATTGGATTCTCTTGGGAATTGAGAATGATTACCGCCTTTTGCCAGAGATCTCCCTTTCTATTATACATGGCTGTAAAAAGCAATTTCGCGCATTCCATAAATTGCAATCAGTTTCAAACAAGACATTGTAATTATTCATGGTTAATAAGAAAAATAATGTTTATTCTTTATTTTATAAATAATTACTTATAATATATATTATATAAAAGCAGCTAAACAAATAATAATAATTTAACTCGTGGAGCATTTATTATAAATTAATAGATATTAATAATTAAGTTTTAATAAAATGCTCGTGACAATAAAATCGCCCAATGAATTAATACAAGACTTTTTCGTGTAGATTATTTATTTTTCTTGCTTAATGTTCGATTATTTTTTTTCACAGAAGTTGCAACTTTACAATTTTTCCTAGATTATATTTAATAACTAAAAAAATATTGCAAGCATAGATAAATAATGTTTGTTAAACATTCTGTGTATTTTAATTTTGAAATATATGAAGTTATTTTTTATTAAATTTTTTTACGGTTCTCTGTATTACTATTGGTTTTGGCGCACGTGTAAAGATTTTTTTTTTTAATAGAAGACAATTTTCTAGAAAAATGATAGCATTATAGCTTTTGAATCATTTATGAGATTATAAAAGATTTTAATGATATGTTTGGATGTGACTTCGTCGGTGACGATAGCTGAAAGATTGTTCTTCATGATTCCAATGTTACGTGATTTTTAGCACCGATCTTTATCCGAAGAATCTCGATTCACTTTCGATTCATCTTCGCAATCGAGCCAGCTCGATCGTTGCTTTGGATCGGAGATCGGAGCAACATGTGCCAGAGCGCTAGATTGCCTACTTTCGAGGCCTTCGGGGTGATTTAAGTGGATTTTATTGTAACCGGTAACAGCAGGTTTCCGTCGTTTGTTCAATGCGTATGTGATGATGTAAATTTTTTTTAACGGCATCTTATGTAACGCGATTAAAATCGAAGATGCGATGCATATAAAAGGGAGGAAGGTAAAGAAAAAGGAAATGGATTTAAGAATGAATAGAATACCAAAGCGGATCGTTGTATATATATTTCGCGGCAACAATAAGTGATACAATAACGTCATCAGTCTTAAAGATGACTTACAATGAATATAAAAATGAAGAGAATTTTATACCAAGGTTAGTTTGTGATGTACTCACACAATAAATTTTTTTATATTTATATACACACATACAACAAAATACTAGTGCTAATAAATTATTCCTGTTTTTCTACTATGATTAATCTATCAAAACCTGTATAAGCGAATTTCAGCAAATTATTGAGATTTAATTTCCATAAATTATATCGTAATCTTTTGAGATAAGTTTAAATTTCAATTAACATCAAAGGCAACGTGTCATTAATCATGCACAGCGAGCGTATTAAATCTTGTATGTTAATAAAGAAACATGCTGCAATTACGTAAAATGAAAAGAATGGTTCTAAATATGTGAACTGTGTCGCATGTGAATAATCGCTGGTAGATTCATGCTGTGCATTATATTATATTAGAAATTTCGTGCGTTTTGCAACACATTGCGTGAGATGACATAAATTTATCCCCATGTATAACATCTCTCACTAATTAATTATACATTTATTGAGTGAAATTGATTTACGAAATATTAAAGAGTCAATATTTTTTGAATTATGATTGAAAAGAAAAATTCTTTTTTTTCAGAAAGAAAAAACAAAATAACAAAATTTAATTTGCTTCCTTTTATTTAAATTGTCAGACGAAATTAATACAATGTTTATGTCAAGGCATATTTTTAATCCTGTATAAATTGTTATTATTATTTGATATATAAATTATATATATATTATTATTAAATCGTATATTACAAATTATTACAAAAACTTATTTAATATAAATATTATTACGCGAAAATGTTGCATGAAAAATATCGAATGTAATCGCAAAATTCAATCAGTTAGACAATAATTTTATTGAGCGATGCATATTTTCATAATATTTGCTATATCAGATTTAATTACCTATGACGAAAGGTGTAGCGTGGGAAATCTAAGAACTTGCCGATTTTATATACTCTTTTCGCATGTATCTTTTACCTGCTATCTGTATGCTGTACGTTTCTTATAATATCGTTCGCGGCTCATCGTCGGCACGCTGCTCTATTTCTATTGTCTGCAATCGAGCATTAATTTCTCGATATTCTGATAAGAAGTAATCGAGTTAATGGATACACGTAACTTTCGGCGAAAGTGATAGTAGATTAAAAATCGATTAGATCACTTATCTGGAATTATTATTATTAATACATATATATTATTATTTATTATATTGTTATTAATACTTTTATTATTATTATTGCATGTATATTATGTACATATGTATAGATCAATTATTTACTGTATAGGTTTAATTTTTAAATTGATTAAAATTTTTTTAATTGATTTAAATTGTTTAAATTTTTAAATTGAAAAATATTATTCTTGTTGGAGAATTTTATCTGTGAAAAAGCGTTCTTAAAACATATAAAAACTTTTTTAATATTAAACAATGTTTGTATAATTATACGTAAAAAGGATATTTTTACCTAAAAATCATTTTAAACATGAACATTTCTTCTTTTACATCTCTTATCATATTTCTTTTCAGAAGATAAAATACAATATCATAGATTCTAAGTGAATTTTGATGTATGCTCTTGACATATATATGTTATCAGTGGGATAGACATATCTCTCGTAATATATACCACACCCTTTCGTTATCATTAATATGCTTGAGTTATAGGACGGCAAAAAAGCAAATCCTAAAATAAACTAGGTTATCGATAATTTCCATCACAATATGAAGAGGAACATAAGATATATTAATAGAATATATAATATATACACATATAAATAAATAAATAAATATATATATATATATATATATATATATATCATAATTATTATGCACAGGTTATCGTTTTAAAAATTTAAACAGTTTTATTGATTCGTTCCCCTTATGAATAATATTCGTGATATTATTCGATATTACTCTATTATAGTATTAAATGATTAAAAGTATGATACGATTGTGATGCAATTTAAGTTTAAGAGAATAAGACATTTGACCTTTCTCATCTTATAACAATTGAATAAATACTATAGAATACAATTTCCAAATATCGTATTAATATTAAAGCTGAAATTTAAAAAAATGATTACATAGTGATTAATTATTAATATTGACTCTATTAAAAATTACATAAATACACATAATAAAATATAATTTTATTCGTATATTTTGAATAAGTGCGTTTACATAATTATAGTT